TCTGGACCACTTTACAGGCTCAATTATTTGAAAAAATATGCTACGCAACCTGAGCTACTTCAAGATGGGCATAGCGATTAGGCGTAGCGTAAAAGAAATACTAAGTCAAGGCAATGTGGCGCCTGTACTTCGGCAGTCCTACGCAATTTTTTTAATAGTTGGTTAATGAAAGTTGAAAGCTTTACACATGGGATAAATGGAAGTGTGCGTGTCTGAGATTAGCGCACTCTGGACATTGGGTTAGCTAAACTGTAAGTGTAAGAGCTAAAAGATATAGCGAAACTACGTCTATTCTATAATTAGTTAGTTAAGACCCTGTAACATAAATGTTAAAGTTTGAACTAGCTTTAGAAACTTTATTAGTCTAAGAAACTGCAGTTGGTGATATGTTTTTAGAGATGTCTGCGACACAACTTGCTGGGCTCTGGTTTCAGCTCATCTCTTATTACTTGCACAGTTAACTCACATTGGTTCCCATACTAGTTGCCAACTATGTATTTGTACTATGTTATAAAAATGCTTTTAGCCTAAAAGCATGCACACATTAAGGCATAATCATCAGTAGGCATTAATTACAATAATAGTGTGTCAATATCGTAATCACAAATTTAAATTTTGTTAATGTGTGGTGCTTTTTTTTTATGCCTATATCTATAGCACCAGCAGTATAGTCATGAGACTAGGGAGAATGGGGAGGCAGAGATGAAGGAGTGGATGTAATTGATCATCAGTAAAAGGGCCGTCCGATGAGGGACTCGAACCAGGGCCGACTGTAGTGAGGACTGAGCCTCTACACAGTGGGGCGCGCCAATTGCTGTAAGACCACTACGCTCCACCACGATTCCGGCGCCTTAAACCACAAAGAATGTATAATTTTAATTTATTATTATATACCTCAGTGAATGTTTTTCCATAACACATATAATGCTATCTTATGAATTTAGTAAAGGATCATGCATCATGTATTGTGGCACCGGGGTTAAACTGTCCAAGACACTATATACAAGAGACATGGTTTTCTTGCGTGAGTGAGTCAGTGGTTTGCCAAAGATTAGTTGCTGAGCGCAACGAGCTGACCCTGTCTGCATATGCTTGCTGCACTGATTGGCCACCAATATAAAAGTTGTTTGAAGGCTGTTATTGGCTTGATTGTTCTAGGTGCTTTCGTTTGGAGGTAGTCGGTTTCCCACAGGTTTGAAAAGAAGGTATTTTCTAACAAAGGACAGACACACACAACAAACACACACCGACACACACTGATAGTTAGCACCCATTCCATCGGCAGCATTGGAATTGTGTTGTGTGTAATCGTGGGTACCGAATGTGGCTTTAAATTTGTCGACATATATTTCTTAAGTTAGAGACAGCAGAACAATGTATGTACAGAATAGGCTCCTTGCTCTCTTTATCTCCAGAGATCGACACTCTGAGATACGAGATTGGCTGCTCTACGCAGGGTTAAAATCTGCTGCATGCGGAGAAAGCAGTGTTCAAATGTCAGCAATCTTCAGTATAGGAGTTAGGTATTTGTGGATAAGAGTTACGACCTAAAGTTAATTTTAAAGCGTTTTGCTCTCGAGTAGTCATATATAATATGTCAAGATTTTCTGAATGTTTCTGAACTAGTCTGTAAACTGGGGGTTTAAACCAATTTCTGAGTTTAACCTTTGACTCTGAAGCCCACACCTGTACTCAGGTTTGTGGTGACATGGATGCCTGATATCATCGCAGCTGACGGGATCTGTATCTCCCTGTGATTGTAAATGACTGGGATCATTGACACAGGCAATGTTTGATGCTCATAGGTGTCAGCCTAGTTCTAGATTGGTGGCTTACGGAGGCTAGCGGGGGTCACTGAATACTGCTGTCGAAAGTGTGCTGTCGGGCTGTTCTGGTATCTGTGTCAGTGCTGTAGTGCACATATTGTTTAATTATCAGATGTTTGCAGTGAGCAGTATTGTTTTCGTTTTATTTCCTTCATTTGTCAGTGTTAAGCATTTCTATTGTTTACACAGATTACTGGAGAAACCAGCCAGACTTTAAGAGAGGATGTCTTTGCTCATTCAGAGGGCATAAATGATTCTACCCCACTCAGTTCTTATTCCCACCTTCATTTCCATACCGTCCTCTCGTTGTCTACATATTCAATTGCCATGGTGTCTATACCTATCGTTCTTTCTCTGGCACTGCTAGGTGATCCTGATCTTCACGCCCTAGAGCAGGGAGTAGGAGCCTCCACCAGCCCATGTACCTGCTGTTCTGCAACTTGAGTATTAACGACGTGTTCGGAGCCACGATAATCCTCCCTCGTTTCCTCAGGGATCTTTTGTTATCGCACTCAGAGCGGCACATTCATTACATCAGCTGCGTCACTCAGGCCTTCTGCGTTCACCTCTATGCTGGTGCCTCCCACACGGTGCTCATGATCATGGCCTTCGACCGGTACGTGGCCATCTGCAGTCCGCTGCGTTACTCCACCATCATGACCAACAGGATGGTGGTGAAGCTGTCGGTTGCCGCCTGGGGAACAGCCCTGGTGTGTGTGTCGATCCTGCTGGGCCTCAGCATCCGCCTGTCGCGCTGCAGGTCAGTTATCTTCCCCCCGTTCTGTGACAACGCCTCCTTGTTCAAGCTCTCCTGCGAGAGCCTCCTCATCAACCAGGTGTACGGCCTCGGCTACACCGTGGTCCTGCTGGGCTCCTCCATCGGCAGCGTCACGCTCACCTACCTGAAGATCGCTGCGGTGTGTCTGAGCAGCAAGAACAAGGCGCTGAACAGCAAAGCTCTGCAGACCTGCGCCACACACCTGACTGTGTATGTCCTCCTGCTGGGCTCAGGCTTCCTCATCGTC